CTGCCAAGACCGGTTCTGGAAGATGAGAAAGAAATTGAAAATCAAAGATTTAGAAAGCAAATAAATCAGTGTTGTTTCTAATACATGAAATAAAATGTAGACACTTATCTGTACAATTGTGTGATTATTTTTTACTACAGTACTCACTCCGCAATGTTTTGCGATTGCGAGTTTCGTAATGCAAAATATCAGGGGACAAGATATAATCACTGCCAATTCTTAAATCTTGTCTTGATAGTAAAACATGTCTTGGTAACATCACAACCAATCTAGAGCAAAAAATGTGTAACGAGTATGACCACAAAACCACTTTTTTTTATTTTTTTTTATTTTTTTTATTAGTTTGGGTTTTTTTGGGGGGGAGGGGGTTAGGTTAACCGGTTTGTTTACATATTCCACTCTCCGTGTTCCAGATGTTGCATTCGCAGATTCTCATTTTCACCGAAAGATCGTCTCTTTCCGCCTGGTCTTGTGTCTCTGAGCTTCTGTAACATAAAGAACGAGCTGACATTTTTCTCACGATACCAGCGATCAGCTCAACAGGCCCTCAGTTTACCTGCATGGATCCTCCTCCTCACCTGTCAGCTGTTTAACACCTGCTGATAAATCTAGAAACACGCCCACGTTACCTGGTGATAGTCTGGGCAGCCGGTGCTCGATATAACGCAATGTCGGCGCATTTTTCTGCACAAGATAAGTAAATATAGTATTTTTTTTTCCCGAGCGCAGAGCTGCTGGAGCTTGTTTCCTTACAGAGCACTCCACTTTATCAGCGGCTGATGTCCAATCACACACAGCTTTGAAACCTCACCTGAGTTTTAGCTCTCAGTGGTTAAACGCTGGACTTAATTCACTCAGGTTCTGTCTGTCGGGTCACGTTTACTTCGCTGTTTTATTTACAACTGAGCAAATCGGTTTGGCCGAGGTTAAAGTTACATTTCATAACTGCACAGTTTTGCTGAAGTTTAATGGTTCACTGGCACATGTGTTAGACTGAACCATTCGCTTTTCTTTATCTGGTGTGTTTTGGAATTTTTAATAGTGAATTTTGAGATTAAACTGACTTTTTATACAAAGAGGAAAGAGAAGGCGCATTTCGACCGAGAGGAGCAGAGTTTGCAACAGCGTGTTCATCATGAAGATGCAACCTGGACCGAAATATTACATACATATCATCAGTTTTTAAATAGTCATTCAACTGTATTCTAAGCACCAGTTGT